AACTGCTGACCCTGAGGTTAGCAGCCCGATTCGTAACCACTACGCTACCAGAGCTCCTTATCCAGCACTGGAGCCCCTACTGTATGTCTGCATGTGGTGGAGGCAGGACTGCAGAAGTTGGGGGGCTAGCAACCAGGCTGCAGCTGGGATTCTCCCAAGGGAGTCCGAGTACTGAAAACAGAGAACCACAGAATCAAAGAGTGTAGGAAAGAGCTGCGACGATACAGGGGTTGTTGCATGCGGTTTACACCTTGACTTGCTGGTTCTAAGGTCCTTTCTGTTTTTTGTCTGTCTGGAACATAATGAGCTGTTTCCTTACTTTTCCTCTTCAGGCTTGAGACGGGCCAACTCAGTCCAGGCCTCCAGACCTGCCCCTGCCGCCATGCCAAGTCCAGCGCCTCCTCAGCATGGCCAGCCAGGTACCTGTGATTAAACCTCCCCATGTGTGTATTATCTCCTTTAACCCTCACATCAACTCTTTACATTCGCAACTTGAAGTTTGGTGCTGTCGAGTTGGTTTTGACTCATAGGGACACACCATATATACAACAGAACAAAACACTGCTTGGCCCTGCACCATCCTCACGAGCATTGCTGTTTGAGCTCCTTGTGGAAGCCACTGTGCCAATTCATCTCACTGAGGGTCTCCCTCTTTCTCACTGGCCCTCTACTTTACATGATGTCCTCCTCCAGAGACTGGTCCTTCCTGGTGACATGAGATGAGATGAAGTCATGTCATCCTCTCTTCTAAGGATGTATTCTGGTTGTACTTCTATAATCAGCCTCATTTACTAGATGGGGCACTTGGTATGTGTTGTTAAGGTAATTCTGACTCAGAGCCACTCTATATGACACAGTAGAACTTTCTAGTCAATTTCCACCTCATAGTGAGCCTATGAGTAGCGTCAGGGTAGAACTATAGGGTTTACTGAAGCAGCTCACCATGTCTTGGCTTCCATGAACCTGCCATGCAACTTTCTTAATTTTAAACTATTCAGAGTTCCCATGATCTGTTTGAAC